CTCTAGTATAGGGTAGCAAAATTCAGCTGAACTAGCTCTGGTATAGGCTAAGGGTTCCAGGGTCCCAGCAATACATCCCCACCCAGAAATTCCCAAGGTACCCCCCCGGGTTTCAGGTTAAGCTTGTCTTTTATTTCTTAACGATTACAGTGAAACCTGTATTAAGCGGACCCCATATTAAGCAGACACCCTCTATTAAGGTAATTCCCCTGAAATAAAACTGTCAATAGAGTTTTGTTCAAACTTTGTCCACTGAATATTTATCATATAAGAACTGTAATTATAGAATAAAATGGGGGTGTGCCCATGCTCTTTAAGGAGCAGTGAGGCATTAAAAATGTCCCATTTTAACATTATTTAATGCTTATTACAAAAACGCATTCCAAGTTATTGTAAACTCTTTGTGAGCCCTGACTCATGAAAACACGCCTCAAACTACAGTCAATACTTGTGTCGGACACAAATAAATTTTTTAATTTTTATTTTGACAGACAGCCGAATCCTTGATGAAATATTGGAACCAAATTGCTTGCCACGGCTATCGAACTGCAAAATAGAAAAGACAACAGTGCAGCTGCTATTTTCCTTATTTATTCAATTTTCAACGACAGAAAACAGATTAGTATTTTCTCGCGCAAAGCTAATGATTAATCGATTAAAATGACTGGAAAAAAATTTGGGGTGCCCGAGCTCGTTAGTGAGCTATAGCCATTTTTCAACTGACAGAACTCAATATAAAGGCAAATTCGCCATGTTTTCAATGTGCACGTGCACTAGCGCGCGCTAGCGACGCCATAAATTATGCGCAATAAGGATGGGCAATGCAAATGTGAGGAATCACCTTAAGGACGTTCGCGCTAATTGTTTCTGTGCATCCTTATTGCGCAAGCAAATTCACAATGAACAATGATAGGGCGGATGGCCATTGCTATAGCTTTGCCTTGATTTAACGATCTTGGACGCTCGGTTACCCCTACCTTTCTTTCCAGAAACAGATTTTATTTACAATTATCTCCGCATCGTCAAAAATAAACAAAAAATAAATCAATGTGGGAAGTTAAAAAAAATTTCTGTCCACGGGACATCGAATCCTGCCATCTTGCGGCTGAAAGGCGCCTGAAACTATGGTCGCTAAATGCGAACTTGTTCTTTGAGGAATCTCACCAGTTGACCAAATTCACTTAATAGGTCCACTCAAACAATATTTGGCAGAGAACATTTCACTTCAAAGATCTAATTGCAATATTTAATTATATTCTCTAAGTTGAATGAAATAACTAATATTTCAATGTTTGTTTCCTCCTAGATTTATCGAAGAAAGAATATTTGTAGTCCATGAAGTAAACAGCCAAGTAAGACATAACACAGAGGGCTTGTCCAGGATTTCCTCATACATGCAGCAAATATGAACATCTCTAACACATCTACAACCGTACCAAATCAACCTCTACCTGGAATAACTACCTTCACACGTACAACATACGCTATCCTGGCCACAGTAGCTATCATAGGAAACATCTTGGTCATTCTTGTTTTCGCCTGGGACAAGAAGCTGTTAAAGAAATCCTACAACATGTTAATCCTGTCCCTGGCCATATCTGATGTTCTGACCGCCTTTCTGCTCATCACAAACCCAGCTTTTGTTCTTGGTGACGCGTTTCCTTATCCGACTAATCACGTGCTGGGAGACATCTTCTGTCGAGTCATATGGAGTCGCACGTTTCTCTTTCAGTTGGTGGTTTTCTCAGCGTACATCTGTGTGGCTTTGGCGATGGAACGGTGGTACGCAATTATCAAGCCTTACAAGTACAGCGAGACCTTCAACAAGAAGCGAACCCTTATTTACATCTTCCTTGTGTGGCTTTGGTCGGTGATCCTCTGTGGCACCTCTCTGTTCGAAGTTGCATACGTTTCCTCGAATTCGCCGAATCGACGATGCAAATGGCAGCCTTACTCTTCTAAGCAGCCAGTCCGTGGTATTGTAGGAATCATTCAAGTCTTTCTTAAAATTGTGCTTCCAAGCCTGACTATGCTGTTCTTGTTCGTTCACATGGTTTACATGTCAAGCAAGCTCACCATCGCCTCGGTTGAGAGCCGCGCTAAACTTCGCGGCAAAATGACGCGGATGGTTGGTGCCGCTTGCATCATGCTGATCGTTTGCTTCGCGCCAAATCAGATCAACTACGCGATGGCAATGGCGGGAAAAACACGACTGGATACCAATTTGCACCATGTCCTCTCCCTATTGGCTTTTGTCAACAGTTGTTTGAATCCATTGATTTATGGGCTGAGCAACAAGAATTACCGTCATGGCTACCTGAAAATCCTGTTTTTGGTTTGCCCCAAGGGAAGATGGAGGAAAAACAAGGTAAAAGATGGACGCGTCCTTAACGCGTGGGAAAACGTCCAGGACACTTCAAGCCGCGAGAGGAACACAGAGGAGTCACGGGAGAGAGAAAGCCAAGAGAACAACGTGTGAATTTAGATGAATGTAACTGAGGAGAGTTTTTTTTTTTTTTTTTTGCAAATATTGCAAATTTTATGATATTAAATTAAAGTGGAGCCGCAATGGCCTTATGGTTAATGCACTCGTATCCGGATAGAGCAGTCCGGGTTCGAGCCCTGGCCGGGGACATTGCGTTGTGTTCTTGGGCAAGACACTTAACTCTCACAGTGTCTCCTCTCCAAATGGGTACTGGCGAATTTAATGCTGGGGGTAACGCTGCGATAAACTAGCATCCCATCTAGGGGGTAGTCGTAATACTCCCAGTCGCTTTATGCTACAGAGAAAGCAGCTCATATGCAGTCTTGTCATAAATGTAGAGAGCTAATGCAGAGCTAATGCAGAGCTAATATAGAGCTAATGCAGTTGTAAATACAAACAGCATGACTAAGGTGACAGCAACGCTTCGATCAGTTTAAATCGTTCGAACGTTTCGGATTACCGTGATGTTGCCATTAATTCTAATGTACAGGTGAAGTGCTTAATTGTATTGTATTTGCAATTGTAATTAGTAATTGTAAGTAAAAAATAATTTTACTTATCTTTTTAAATGTTATTTTCCACACGGCCCCACAAACTTGCAGCTTTAATCCTCACCGCCTTTGAATAAAGTTTATTGTGTTGTATTATATTATGATCCAGATTACAGTAATGTTGTCGTTAATTCTAATGTACCAGTGAAGTGATAAAGGCCATTTTTCTGATAGATAATGCTTTAGTATTGCTGTTTCTAATGAGTTTGTGAAGTGTTAAATGTTATTATGCGCTAGATAGACGTAGGCTGCGATGCAGGCGTATTTGGGCGAGCGAGCGCATTTGATCTAGCGAGTGCCATCTTGGATTCGAACTCGAAAGAGGCTTGGGGAGAGACGAAAAGGCGTCTTAGGGAGTGGGAGTTGGGGTGAAAGAGCCAACATGGCGACAGCGAATCTGCTCGATCGCGAGCTAATACCGCTAATTCGTGAACACATGGAAAACGCCTGCACTGCAGGCTAAGATAGCTGATGGTGGAATACTTTCAAGTCTAAGGTGTCAATGTAATGTATGTTGTAGGTGGGTAATGGTGGATGATGCTACGGTAAATGTTTAACTTTAATAACCTTGAGCAATAAGAATTATAAATTTTTTAAAGGAGCTCAGTCACGGTTTGTGCATATTGAAAAGTTTAGCCTCAATTTTTCAAATTCGTCCTTTGTAGTCCAAGTTAATCTTCTCCATCCTTAGCCATCCTTGTTCCTTTATGGTTTATCATTATCTCTTTGGTGTTTTTCTATCTTATTAAACCGTTATTTTCAGATTTCCTACCATTTTAGGGTAATTTTGTATGTGGCCAAAATAACTCAAAATACCGTAGCTGAGCTACTTTAAAGTAACCAAGTAAACAATAGTGGAATTGTTAAGCGTAAATGTGATAGACGTAATGTGGTAAATAGATAATGCTGTAGTGATTAGAGATATAAACGATGCTGAAACATTGTTACTGACTCTTATATATAGCTTTAGTGTGGATTAAAAATTGTATATATATGGATACAAAAAGATACCTGTACAATGATCAGTTAAATCGGAAGAACATATGATGCAATCGAGCAAAAGGAATAGACCATATTCGTATGCAACTGAAGCTAATGCGAGGAGTCTTTCAAATCCATCTCTTTAATTTTTAATGATATTCTCCCGCATTAGTCTCCATTGCAAGCTAGTTCCAGTCCAATACCGAGAATTGTTCGGTATTTTCCTAGTTTTTTTTTTTTAGTTTTTAAGTTTGTTAGAGTAAAATTGTAGTTTTTAGGAATAGTTTTGTAAAGTGCCTTGGGCAAATAACGGATGTGTGCGCGCTATATAACTAAACTATTATTATTATTATTATTATTATTATTATTATTATTATTATTATTATTTGTTTAATACGAATATTGTCTCTTGTAATGGCTGGGAATAAGAGGATTAAAGAACAATGAACTTTCACTGTCCAGAGCTCGGTAAACCCAAAGTCAGGATTCTCGACAGCTGGATTCTCAAACGCTCTGGTGGTAAACGGCCATCTGAACCACGGTCGTTGAGATTGTTCGTTTAATTTATACATAAGGAAATTCTGGTTTCTTTACCATTGCTTTTGTGAATAGCTTTACGAAGCTCAAGTTATTGACGTCACCGTCCTTCACAAAAATGCACATCTGAAGCATTTTGTCTTTGGCGACACGACGGGACCTGTGAAACTGAGTTTCCGGCGTCCATTGCCGTTCCCATCCTCGTATTTTAAGGTCCCTATTGAATTAATTTGAAGCCCCAGTTGTCGTCTTTACGTTGCTAAGCAGCTGACGACGTAACATCGCTCGGAGTACTTTCGAGTGCTCGTGCCCTTGTTTGATTGCATAGTAAAAGTCGAGGACCTGCAACGAAGAGTTGCCATAGAAGGCTGTCTATTGTTCCCCAATTGCTTTTTCCCGCCCGAACACCCTGCTCAATTCACAACTTTTCTTGTTGCGATACTGAAAAGAAGCAAACCAAAAGGCGAGAAGAGTCATGAATCAAATCTAATGTGGAAATGCTTTATCCCGGATAAAAAAGGCTGCAGTAACTGCATGGCGAAGTTTGAAATCATATTTTGGCCGACGAAATGGACGAAGAAACGGAAACAGTGTTGAAACTGAAATGAAAACAGGACCGAGTCAGAGTGATTTAAGGAGCAGTCACGAGCAACTGCCTCAGTTTAAACTAACCGGGCGAACAGCGGTTTGTTCTGTGATAGAAGAAAACGACCAGCGCCATGGGATTTCACTAGCAGAGTTGAGAAGAGAGCTGACTGTTCGGTATCTCTTGGCAAAAAAACGGAATGTTATGAGAAAGTCGCCGGCGCAGAGATATACAGTTGAACCTGTTTACAAAAAACTGAACAGAAATAGTTTTTGCAACGCTAGCCTGAATTCGGGAACAACTTTGTAATTGTATCAATACCCTTCTTGAATTAAGGACATGCCTTCGTTCAGAACGCAGTTATTCTTCTCTTTCCTTTAAATCAATAAATTGGCTTTTGCCATTATATCCAGTCTTTTCCTAAATATTGATATTATTTAGGGTATAAAAAGTCTCAGCTTGAACGAGAAGGAACTAAAAGGCCAAAACAATTTTGATTTATTAACTGATTTCACCGGCATAAATGACGGCATACCATGAGACAAACAATTTTTATTCTTTGCCCTGAATTCCCATCACTATACTTTTTAACCTTGTCAAAGATTGCTATGTATCAAAGAGTTAAAAGAGAGCTTGAGGCAACCACGACGGCAATGGCAACGAGAACGCCATCAAACGAAAGGTTTAATGAGTATAACAATAGCTGTGCACGTGCGTTATAAATCAGTCTTTGTATCTTTCCTTGCCGTCCTCTGTAAACAACAACGAGTTCTACGTATTTTGGAGAACGCGAACAACGGCGGCTAATTTTTCGTATTAAGGAACCTACGTAAACCATGACCGTAACGGCAACGAGAACGTCACCAAGCAAAAGGTTTAATGAGCAGAACAATGGCTGTGCACGTGCGTTACAAATCTTTGTACATTTCCTTGCCGTCCCCTGTAAAGCAACAACGTGAAATGACTATAAAGTTCCGCGAACGACGGCGGCTAATTTTTCGTATATTTATTTGGAATTGAACGCTGGCAATTTCTGAGACCAATAAGCGCATTGAACAGATCTAGGCAATTGCGAAATTCGAAGCCGAAATTATAAATTCCTTTTTTGCCCGGTGTTTTCCTCGGGGTCGCTGTCGTCATTGCTTAAGCTCCCTTATAGGGAATTTAAGTATCCACGACGGCGACGCCGAGGACAACGTCGATTAAAAAATGATTTAATATTTTACCTACGAATTTCGCGGTACTCTTAAGTCATTTACTTTGTTTATCACTGTTACAACTGATTCGAAACTGAGTCAGGGACACAGCGATGAATTTGAAATAAAAATTTCAGAAATTAGCCGTCGTGGTTTACGTTCTCCACACAACGCAGAATTTGGACACTTCACACGTTGCTGTTTTGCAGAGGACGACAAAAAATGTACCAAGATTTATGACGCACGTGCACAGCCATTGATCTAGTTGCTGTTATTTTTCAATTTTATTTTTCCGGTATTTCCAGGCGAAGGAGCGGTTACCACTCACGTGCGTACATTCCGTTCTAAATGGTGCATCTAGGATCTCGCTATGATAACTTTCATGGTTCAAATAGGTGTAGTTTTACGAATACTTACTAGTTAAACCTGAAAGTCTTGACATTTGTGCACTCATTTTCAATTTTCTATGATTTATCAAGTGCATTAGTTAGAACCAACGATTACACGTTGCCATGACAATTAATACGACTGTTTATTCGATGTCACTTTTCTAATGTTCAAGTCACTTCCTCCGAAGGTGAACCTCCTCGCAGGCCGCCACTTTCCTCTCTTGTTAAAAGATAGGACCGGAGTTGATGTGATATTTTACTGGCCGAAAATTCCTGCAGTAGCTTGCTTGAGATGTAGAAAAAGAAAAATAGCTTGAAACTTAGCTTCAAAGAGTTGCTCTTAATTTTATGGGCGACGTTTAAGGACTCTCTTACGTTAAACGTCGTGGGAGGCGCGGGGACCTCGTGGTTAGTGCGTTCGTTTCCGGATCGAGCGGTTCCGGTTCGAGCCTTGGCCGGGGACATTGTGTTGTGTTCTTGGACAAGACACTTTAGTCTCACAGTGCCTCTCTCCACCCAGGTGTATAAATGGGTACCGGCGAACTTAATGCTGGGGGTAACCCTGCGATGGACTAGCA